CTTTTCAGGAATGGGAGCCAGTTGCTCTGGTGTGTTTGTCACATGTGTCCCTGCCCTTGGAAAGGCACCCAGATCACCTGCAGCAGGTGTCCCTGGGGTGCTTCTGCCTTGGTCATGGACAGAGGAGAAAGAGCAGGGCTGGAAATCAGCAGGGGAGGAAGGCCAGCACGTGGGGAGTGGGACCAGAGGGCTGTAGCCGTGGGGTCACAAAAGGACATTTTGAAGATCACATTGGAGCAACGTCTGTCAAGAATGGTTTCATTCTAGCTGATCTCACCCTGGGGCCAGAGAATGGGCTAGGTGACCTCCTGAGCCTCCTTTTGCTTTTACACTGGAAATGGATAGGAAACCCACCCTAACGCTCTGTTTCCCTGGGGATTTTCTCTCCTTCTTCCCCCCACTGTCCTTCTGTGCCAGGTAACCAGGTTTTTATACACACAAACGTGCTTTGGAAAGCTTATTGTCATGCTCTGCATAAGAAGTTTATGATTTATATGAAGCTAGCTGGTCCTTGAGCATGTGCTGTTGTCAAGCTGTCTGGGTCTGCTCAGGAGAAAAGCGCTCGGGGGCTGGCACGCAGGAGCATGATCTGGGTATTTATCCTKTTGGCAGTTCGCTAATTATTCCTATCGCTAGCGCATCCCTGCGTGAATTTCTGTCTCTCTGCCACAGCAAATATTCTCTCGTTTTTTCGAGCTGCAGAGCTGCTACTTAAACTGGAGAAGCCTGAATATCCTGCAGGGGCCCATATTGTCATTTGGTTGATAGCGGTGAAACGGGCCAAACATCCTTTCTGTAGCACTCAAACTGCATGTCTTTGCATTCCTGCCTTGGCCACTCATTTCCTGGCCCAAATTCTGCTCTTGTAAACAGCTCCTGCCGGCCCTGGGAGTGCTCTCTGTGGCACAATGCTTTGATAAAGCCAGAGCCATCCGCTGCCAAGACTCCATAAGGAGGCACAAATAGGCTCCAGATATCTCTGCTACTGGGGATGGAGCTGCATTTGCAGCATCATTTCTCTTGCTAAGGACTTACTGAGCCTTTAAAATGTATTATAAAATTAAATGGCGTTTTTTTTTCCCACCTGTTCTAACCAGTGCCAAGTGCATTGAAAACCCTCCCAGATGATACAGCTYTGCATGCAAAATCTCAGTACCCTCCTAAGGACTGCAGCTGCCTCTGAGACACCTTTCTTTTCCCATGGGCTGCCTCCTTCACTTAGAATAATAAGCTTTAAATGATCTCAGGGCACTCTAGATCCTGCTGCACAATCCAATTTGACATGAGTGTTGCATRGAGGGGAGGGAGGGAGAAAATCTTGCAGGCAGACACCGGACTTTCAGTGTGAGTTTTCCATTAGTACAAAGAAGAAGTTCATCAGGGAGATTTCATGCCTGTCTGTGCTGGAAGAAAGGCTCTCTGGGATGGTTGGAGCGCCTGTGCTTCAGTGRTGTGCTGGATCAAGGGGCTGCCTGTGGTGCTTCCAAATGCAAAAAATCCCCAAGGCCATAAAATAACGAAAACAGCAGCAAACTCATGAGTGGCCACCTTTTAGTCTCACATTAAATATCATTTTAGCCTTGCATTCGCTGTATTTTATCATTTAGGTAACGCTGTACATGAACTGTTGAGCCTGTACCTCGGCTTCAGGACAGGTGTTTAAACACCATAAGCGCTCCACAGGAAGAGAGGAAAGCTGCTTTCCAAAGGAGATGGCTGTGKGCAGACCCAGTTAATCTCCTGTTATCTGTTCTGATAGCCAAATGAGGCTCTTATCAGTGTTGGCCGTGTCCCTGCCAGCGCAGTTAAAAAGCCTCCCCRGTTCCTATCTCGGTGAATTTGCTGCTGCCCAATTCCCCTGGYTGGGTCAGGCAGGGGCTGTGTCTGCAGAACAGCCTGACCCGAGCAAAGCTCCTTGTTGTGCCGGCTAATCACCCCTAATCCCAGCTCTGATTGTCCTGACGGTGTCACAACACCGGGGTCACCTCTGTTGAAGGGGTCACCTCTTCAAAAGGAGCTGTTTTGAAGCCTCTCATCAGCTGGGACGGGGCTCTGACACCAGAGGTGTCCCCAAGATGTCCCTGGATGCAGCACAGGAAGACAGCGTGAGTCTGTCAGGATRACACTGAGCTCACACTGGGCTCTTTGCCCTATTTCTGAGCTTTTTGGCTGCTGTACAGATAACAGAACCCCTCCAGAGCAGAGGAAGCCTGGCACTGAGCAGGATTCTTTCGAGTAATGCGTGGCCCTGGTGGGTGTCAATCCTGGCAGTTTAGGCAGGTGTATGCTAGTGATACTGGAAACTAAACACAGATTTCCATGGTAAAGGTTTGGTTTTTATAATATTGTTTTCTGAAATACCAGAGAGGAGTCTGCAGAGCGTGCAGTTGCCCTGTGGTGATTTAGTTCAYGATCAGCAAAGAGAAAAGTCCTGAGAAGTTATTAATGTTGAGGCTGGGGGATCAAGTAATTGGCAAAAAAAAAAAAGTTTGCAGAAACATTTAAGGGAAGCTTGAGACTTCGCAATTATTTCTGCACACAAATCACTATGCTGATTTACTTTTTGTTAAAAAAAATATAATTATTTCTTTGGGTAAATTTGGTGCTACTGGATTTGGTGCTACTACTGAACACCAAACCCAGCTAGAATGGAGCTGACTCACCAGATTTATTCATGACTGTTCATTTATCAGGGCAGCTTTCTTTCTGCTGTTTGTAAGCATGACTCAACTTTTATAGCCACCAGATCAGATCACAGTTTCATCTTGTCTTGTGTCAACACAAACTTGTCCCTATCCTGTTTAAAAYCATCTTTTTCTTCCTAGGTTTTTTTCTGAATTGTGCCATGGTGGAAAATCTTCCTGGGCTTTGATTTCCCCTTAGTTCTTATTCTTCCCTACACGTGTTACTGTGCTGATTTGCCTTTTCCTCATGCTGTAATTGGGCTGGTGCCACTGTGTAATTTTTAACTGTGTGCAGTATCAACAGACCTCCATCTGTCTCTCCTCCAGAGCTTCCCAGCCTGCCGTTATAAATATCTGCCAAATCCTTCTCCAAAGAGAGGATCACCAGATTCCAACTGTTTGCAAAATAAGGGCTGCTGCCAGGAATTCTCTCCCACCGTCTGCAGMCCGTGCAGAACCTGTCCCTGCTCASTGTGGGAYGGTTTTGCTGGCACTGAGGAGCTCAGGCTGCCAYTCATTGTCCCTCAGAAGTGTGTGCTGCTGCAGAGGGCTCAGCACATTGGCCTYCCTGCTCAAATATCTCATGATGTGTGTCTTTTTATTAGAAAATAACTTTCAATGACCATCAAGTGATAAAACCAAACTAACTGTGTGATGTGCCAGAGGTTCTGCTCTCCCATATTCCTCTTTTTGGGTGTGCTCCTTCCCCTTTTGCATTTCTTATGGAGACAAAGCAAAAAATGCCATCTTTTATTTTATGCCAGGCTCACTTTTAGGTTGTGTCCTCGTGATCCCTTTGTGGCCACAGCAGTGCCCTTGCAGGATTTCTGCCAAATGTTGGTCACCTCCATGACCACTGCTATGACAGTGGTCAGTGCTGTTTTGGCCAGAGCATCACTGGGGTTCTCAAGGCCACTCTGACCTTGAGTTCTCTTGGACACAAATCAAATATCTTGATGTTGTTCTCATTTAGGGCAAGACAGAGTACCTTGCCAAGGTGTTCATGTAAAAAGGGAAGTCTGAGAAAGGATATGAGGCTTTCAAACACTGCTGGGTACACAGCAAAGTCGTCAAACAGCCAAAAAACCCAAGATTTATCTGGTTTCTCCAGCAATGTGGAGAACCCCAGGAGGGTCTGTGGGCAGACAGCAACTCTGGCAGTCACACTGGTGGGTGGACACAGCTTCAGGTCCCCGATAAACCCATAATTAGGACTTGCTGCCAATTCTGTGGGGGTTTGAGCTCTGCTCCAGCAGCACCCCAAGGCCTCTCACGCACCAAGGTCCCCGTGCAGAAGCTGTGCTTTAATTGCCAGCGTGCAGAGTGACACATGAGCTGTCAGCTGGGCCACCTGTGACAGCAGGGAATGGAGACAGCTTTGTTTTCCTCTTCTGAGAGCTGTCCTCCCTTGCAGATGCTCTGCAGGCAGCTTTGCTGTGCTTATCTCCCGCTGGAGACTTCAAACAGGGCGTGCTGCAGGCTGAGGTGGGACCCAGATCAGGCACTGGTCAGCTTTTGGGGTTGTGCTCCATCCAGAAGGTCTGGAGGGAGACAAATTTGCTCCTCTCTTACACAGAGCATTGTATTTTCCATGTAGTGTGGTAGAAAAGCTTTAGCATCCCCATGTAGTGTGGTAGAAAAGCTTTAGCATCCCCATGTAGTGTGGTAGGGAAACTTCAGCATCCCCATTTCCAGCCTTCCTCTCAGAGTGACATTTTTTAGTGGTTCTCAAACTGAAGAAACAACAAATTGTGCATCCTCTCTCAAGCACAGCGTTGTTAATGTTCTTTGAAAGATGACAAGTGTCGTGGCCGTCAAACTGCAGTGATCCTGTTCCTTCTGAAACGGGAAAAACATGTCACTGTTGGCTCTTAAGGAACGCAGAGGGAGAGGCATATTCTGGATGGGAGCTGCATGGCTGCCAAAGATGAAAGAAAAATGTTATTACTTTTGGAAATTTCATAATTACAGTTAATGATAATTTAATGAAATGACATTGTCTTCACCGCTATGGCTAATGAAATGTTTGAGAGTGATAAAACAGATCTTGTTAAATAGAGCGAGAGTTTGGAGTGGAACAGCTTTGTGACAGCAGACTGCCTGCACAAGTCTTGAATTCCTATTTTTTTTTGTTAGAGTAGTTTAAAAAAGAAGATAAAATGAAGGCTGCATGGCAAATAATGAACAAATGAGGTATTTAAAGGTCTTCCATTAAGCAAACAATACTGAACTCCTGAGTGGCATGCTGATGACTGAGCACTGCTCCTTGGAAATGCTAACCCTTCATTAAAACACTTCCCTTGTTTTCCTCTGCAGGCAAACCAGAGAACAAGAAACCCCGCCTGACTTTTTTTACTTCTCAGACTACGAGAGGCATAATGCAGAAATAGCAGCATTTCATCTGGACAGGCAAGTAGAATGGATTTGCATTAAAAGGAAAGGGGAAATATTGAGATAAGTTGCTGCACTTTGCCATTCCTGTAAATGAATTACTTTTTAAAAGGGGAAAGTGGAACAAAGGTGGGCAAATGGCACGAATAAATGAAATGGCAGATGATGAAAGAGTAAGTTAATAATTAGGAAATGTGACTTACTCCGGAATGAGAAACCTGGCAATAAGTAATTCTCAAAAAGAAAGAGAAGTTATATTGGAGAGAAGCTGTGAAATTAATTTCCCCTGTGATCTTGAAGCACATATGGAGAGCACCCATCTCCCAGGGAATGTGTCACGTGTGTGATGGAGTCTGGCTCACCCCAATTAGCTCCAGGGCACCGAGATCCAAACGAGAGGAGGGGACTGGGCTGATTCACAGAGCAGTATTGAGATGGGAAAGGAGTGCTGGTTTCACAGCAAAAAGCTGAGCCTGTCCCACATCAGGACCATTTTTAGGGCACAAACTGGTGGGAAGGAGAGGGCAGTGGTGATCACCTCATGCTCCTGCTGCTGAAAATGCCCCACTGCAGACTTAGTGCAGGGGATGGGGGATACTCCCTGCCTGCCCAGATTAGGGCTGGGAATTGATAATTAGTGATTAACAGTACATCTGGAAACCATGGCACATCCTTTCAAAAACTCAAAGCTCTGGGGCCACAAATTATTTGGGTGTTTGTGTAGCTTTGCTGCCTTCTGGGATGGTGGCAGGGATATGGGAATGTGTCAGTGGGTGGCACAGGGCAGGTTTGCCACTGAGAGCCAATCCTGCTCAGATCCTTCCAGGATCTTCTCCCTTTATTGTTTTTGACCTTGGTGTTGATCCCTTCTGCTTTGTATTTTATATTTTATATTGTGGTTTGAAGCAGATGGTGCTGTAGGAAGAAAAAACATTAGTGGAGTTCCTACGAGGGGTATGTTAAATATCCACACACCAAGCAAGGAAAAGCAGTTGCTACCCAGTGTAGAAAATCCGAGCAGCAGACAGTGGGTATAAAAATCCTGCCTATGGGGAGACTTTGTATGGGGTCTTTGCTCTTTTAGTGTATCTAMCAGCAGAGCTTGGCAGGGAGGTTTTTATGATCTCTGAGGCGGGGGAGTTCRGGATGGAGAGAGGCTCTTCTCCCASCCTCCGCCCRTGGGAAAATYTCTGGTCTCAGAAAGATTGTTTAGGTTGGTATAAGGGTATTAAAACAGAGAGGAGCAGAAGGAAATAAATCAAAYACATACTAAGACTGTCAGAAAAAGAATTAGATGGTGTTTATGGAAGAAAGAGGCTGAAATCCCATTCCCCGAGTCACTTAAAAAACTGGTGAGMAAAATGCATGTCATAACAATCACGAAGCAGTACAAAGTAAAAAAAAAAATAAATTTCTGCTGTCTCTGGTTTTTGGAATTGTATGGATCTTCATTTTTTTCGTGTAACAATGCCCTCCATACTTCTCTTGTATTTTACTCCACACTGTGTAGGCAAATCGGAGCTCATCATATTCAGGACATATTTTGTAATACATTATATGAAGGATTATCCAGTTTAGAGTTGATGGGCTTTATACTCCTCAAAGACCACAGATAAATGTGCCTTCAGAGCGTTATGAAGCTTCCTAAAACCTCTAACTATCATTMCCTTTTAATCCTTTACACAAACCACGCCTTTTCTCCCTCTGGCAGGATCCTGGATTTCCGCCGTGTGCCCCCRGTTGCAGGCAGACTGGTGAACATGACGAGGGAAATACGAGATGTGACTCGTGACAAGAAGCTCTGGAGAACGTTTTTCATCTCACCAGGTAGTCCTGGAAATAACTCTCTATTCTTTCTACCCCGCTGAACGCATACTTAAGGAAACGATGTGTAGATTGCTTAATTGCTCAGATACTTCTAATAAAACTGTCTTCTAGACCTTTGAATAAAAATAAATGTGGGGAAATAGCTTACAAAGAAGACTTTATTGTTTTGAGTTGAGTGCCTTTTCCCCTTGACAAATTATCCRCAGGGAGAGGCTTTTATGTTCATCAAAGCAATGTATTCAACAAATGTTTTATGTAGAACAATTTCTGAGGCAATTTTTTCTGGTGCTCTCAGTTTACCCAAAACCTCATTACCCAACCCATTAGTTATTTAGGCTTTTTTTTTTTTTTCCCTACTGCAATGTCATCTGTCACTTCTGTTGGTCAGATGCATTTATTTCTGCTTTTGACCAGAGTTCCAAACCTGATTTCTCRGAGTCGTTCAGGTTTTATTACAACAGGAGTTTGGGGAAAAAGATCAGGARATAGATGTGTAATATATCCTGCTTCCAGCTCAAACTCTCTGCTGGGCAGAGGGCAGAGCAGAAGTGACCTGAATTGCTCCCAGGCCTTGCTCTTGCCTTGAGGGCTGACCCAGGAGCTGATACCACTCACTCTTCACTCTTTCATAACATTTTGTGGATTCCATCAAGGATGGAGCTCCACAGGGTGAGAATTTTACAATCCCATCCTGCTCACCAGAATGTACAACTGGAACTGGGAAAAATGGGAATCTCTGTTTGGCACGTGGGATGCTGAGATTTCTGAGCTGAGCGCAGAAATCATGCTGAAGTTTGTTCTTAGGTAYAGAATACATAGGTTATAGGCTCAATTTAAAGCACAGTGCCATGTTTTAGTGGCTTGACTCTTATTGTTTCAGCTGTGTGCCAGCGTGCCTGGCTGAACTGAGGCTGGGACTTGTGTAAGAGGCAATCTGCAGCAGAAATAAATGTGGGAGAGAGCTGAGCCTTCTCTGTGTGCCATTGGCCAGGAGCTGTTTATCCCAGACCCCTAAATTCGAGACCCAAAGCCTTCATTGCAATTTCCCCCAATGTAACTGTGATTTTTCTCTGTTAGCCACAAACCAGAGCCCTGTTGTTGCAGAGCTCTCGCTCCTAAAACGTTTATCACACTTTCCTGATGCCCAATRAAGTCATTATTACGGCTGTTATTTTTAGCTTCATATTTGTGTTCAGCTCTGCAGGACGCAGTTGAGCAGACAATTATTTATTCCAGGAACTTCACTTGTAAAATACATTACATAATTGCAGAAGATTTCCTTTTATCCCATGTTATGAGCACTCTTATTTTACAGTTTTGGTGATGGTACATGTTCACCCAACCTTCTGGGCAGACATTTCTTCATTTGCCTCAGTTGCTTTCCTTCCCTCTTTGTCTCTCTATATGGGCTTTTTTTGGTTTGATCTTTGTAAGCAAATATGCACAAAAAATGACAAAAATCTTTTGACACTGCACAAGGTGCTTTGGTTCCCTTCAAACATAAGCCATTTTATTCCCATTTTGGCAAGTAAGACATGAATTAATAGGTTTGTTTGATTTCCAGTCTTCCCAGGTTGCATTTCAAGACATAGGGGTGAACTGGAATGATTTCTGAGAATTACAGAACTGTTCTCAAGTGCTGATCAGCTTACAGCAGCCAGAGCAGGGCAATACAGAGTTAARGCTGCCAGTTCGGATGAAGATCTTTATCTTGTCATTATGAAATTCCAGACATCCAAGGGATGATCCAAGCATAATCCTTTATTCAAATTTATTTAGAGGTCTCAGATAAATTCAATTAAAATATTTGATTAGCTATGAATCAGGCTTTTCTGAAGAATAAAATGCTTGAGCAATTAATTTTTCTTTCCATTTTACATTTCCTGAATCAAYATACTTTGGTTAAATCACGTTGGTTACTTGTCAGAGTTCTTCCCAACAAGTCCCCAGTTTAATTAGTCAGATTCTCATTAACATATGCCCAACCTCTGTCTTGTATTTCATCCTGACCTTAAAAGGCAGACATTAATTAATGCTTAATGAAAAGATAATAAAGATCCTAAATTAAGCTTTTAAAAACAGCTTTCACGAGCCCAGCAGGCAGCTCAGGCAGCAGATTGAGGGCAGGGAAGGAGGAGGGAGGTGAGATTTGAGGTYTGGGGAGTGAGGATGGGGCTGGGGAGAATGAGGGGGCTGAGCTGGCCCTCTGGGTGCTGAAGGTTTGAGGGAGAGATGGTTCCAAAAGGAAAAACTGAGCTGTGACCTATTGGGACCTTATTGCTCTCTCCTGAAGGGTGGCTGTGGGCAGAGTGGGTCGAGCTCTGTCCAGGGAGAGCTGGCAGAATGACATGACACAGCCCTGAGCTGTACCAAGGGAAATACAGGCTGGATATCAGGAAAAAGTGTTTTACAGAAAGAGTGATAAAGCACTGGAATGGTCTGCCTGGGGAGGGGATGGAGTCACCATCCCTGGGTGTGTTTAAAAAGAGATTGAAGGTGGTGCTTGGTGCTGTGGTTTAGTTGAGGTGTCAGGGCATGAGTTGGACTCGATCTTGAAGGTCTCTTCCAGCTCTTCTGGGATTCTGTGACTCTGGAGCCCAGCTCTGCACCAGCCTGGAGCTCTCAAAGCCCCTCTGGACCCTGTTTTGGGTGGCTCTGTCACTGCATCTCCATCCCCAGTGGTGACAGCTGATGCTCCTGGGGACACGTGCTCCCTGCTGGCAGTGCATCCCTCTCCGTGCATACACACAGCTCTTCAGATGAAACGAGCACTACATGAGATGGAATCTGTAGGAAGATCTTCCCCTCGGGCTGGGAGCTGTGCTTTGCACCCTCAGAGCGGGTTATTGATGGTGCTCATCCATCACAGCACCACAGAACGAGCTGAGCTGGAAAGAGCCCGTTAGGACCATCAAATCCAACCCTGGCCCTGCACAGGACACCCCAAGGATCCCAAAAGAGGAGGGTGTGGGGATGTGCTGGGAGAAACCTCACTGCATTTCCACTCCTGGGCCACTTCCCTGGTGCCATCAGGTATGGAAACAGGGGCAGGGAGCCACAGAGAAAAAGAGGGAGGTAGAGAGAGCCACAGGGAGCCAGAGAGAGCCACAGAGAAAAACAGGGAGCCACAGAGAGCAACGGGGAGCCACAGGAATCCACAGAGAGCCACAGGAGCCACAGAGAGCCACAGGAGCCACTGAGAGCCACAGGTAGCCACTGAGAGCCACTGAGAGCCACAGGAGCCAGAGAGAAAAACAGGGAGCCACTGAGAGCCACAGAGAGCCACAGTATCCATGGCCTGGAAGCACAGTGCCCTGCTCCTATGGAAAAGGGACAATCAATGGCTGTGAGCAGCCAGGTCAGTGCAGGCTGCACTCAGAGAGAGAGCAGATTGCAGAAAAGTGCACTTGCAGGCAGTTTGGGCTTCAACATGAGAAATGGAATTAGGTCAGTAATTATTTAAATTAATTTTACATCCTTTGCAGCGGGGCAGACTGCAGTAGCCCTGCTACTCTTACAAATGAATGGTAATTTGCTAGGGAAAAAAAAAAAAAGAGACATATTAATGATGTCAGCCTTCGTTTTGGAAGTAATTGAGGCAGCAGCTTAAAGAAATCAATGTTACACAGCTAGTAAGCACTATGTTTTTGTTCATATTAACCAATTCCAAGGGATTATGGATTTTTTTTTCTCTCCCAGCACACAATAGCAGTTCTGAATTACCTATTATTTTGAGCAGGTAAATGAAAGATCTTTTCATGCATTGCTGTAGTAAATATTCAGGATTCTTTCCAGCATACCCCAATTGCACAGGCTTGCTAAATGTCCTCTATTAACAGTCATGCAAAGCTGAATAAAAGAATTGCTCTGCCAAGCAATTTGCTTTAAGGTTTTTCCCCCTYGTTCCTTTTCTTCCTGAGAGGAATTATTGTTCAGCTATCAGGAGGATGCACAGGGAATGTGCAGATGAGCACTCAGACACTCTGCTTCTTAATTGTTGTAATTAGTTGGAGTTTCGATCACCAGACCATGATTTTTGCCTGCATTTCATTACGAATCTCATCCATTCCTCCTCAGGTAATGAAAATCAGGCACTGCAACACAAAATTCTCTTGCCTTTCTGGTGCTTTGGGGACACAGTTTTGGTTTTTTTTAACGAAGAAGGATTTTGCATGTTGCAAATGCACATCATTTGAGCACAAACCTCCCTCCCTGCCTGATTTTCCAGCACCTCTGCTGCTCTTCCTGCCCACGCTGCAGGAGCACAAATTCCTGCCTGCTGCTCCTTTTGCAGGTGCACTTAGGCAGAAACACCTTTATCTGGTGAGAGGAACATATGGCTTGGGCAATTTGAATGAGAGGAGAAGGAGCAGGCTCCAGYAGGGAGCTCCCCTCCCCTTTTCCTCTCATTTTTTCTTGGGAGAGCCAAACCMTGCTCTCAGTGTGGGATTGCCATGAAGCTCTGGGCTCGTGTCTCTAGCTGGAATTTCACCCTCAGCCTGCTGTGCAGAATGTGGGTCACCTACTTAGCTTCCAAAGAGCCTTGCTGCTGCAGCACCTTGAAGTCTGAAATGAGAACCGTGGTTTTTCTATATTTGGTGCCTCTTTTTTCTTCCAACATTTTTAAGAAACCTTAAAAATGAATGTTTCCCCAGATAATTCGGGCTGCTTCATCTTACTGCTGCTATGTAAGGACTAGGGCAGACATAATAAGATGTCTGTTCTGTACCAATCAAGGCAGTTAATTTTTCAGCAGTAAATTGAGGKACAGCATCCTTTCACCTCCACCATCCCCAGAAATTGGACAGGAGCTGTGGGGAGCAGGTCCCACAGGTCTGAGCTCACGGGTGAAGCAGAAAAAGCTTTGCCATTGAAAACAACTTCTCCCTGGGAAAAAAACCCTTGTGGTTTGACTGCAGGTTTGCTGTTTTAAGGACAGGACACACCTTGCCATTCTCAGGGGGTTGGGTGCCAGGGCTCCTGSAGGATGGTGGCAGGGATGAGTGGCTGTTGACAGTACAGAGCAGGGTTTCATTGTTCCCCGAGTTAAATCCAGAAGCAAACTATGAAACAGAGTATTTCCATTCCCACTGAGCAAAAGGCTGTGTTTAGTACAAGTCCTTTTTGTTGAAAGGTCAGATTTCCATAGCGAGCAGCAGAGGCTGTGATGGCGTTGGGGGGTGTTTGCTGGGCCTTTTTGCTCTTTACAAAGCTGCTCTGGCAGGAGATAAGCGAGCACCAGCTCCCTGCTGCCAGGTGGACGTCAGGTCACAGCAACCCTGGAAGATAACTTATCTCAGGCAGTCRAGATAATCTGCAGGGTTCCCTCCCTCCCTGCACTGATGAGGGGGTGATGCTGAGACAGCTGAATTGAAGCCCAGGCCCCACTGCAGCTTTAAATCAGCAGAARCACAGTTTTAAAGAGAGGATATTCTGCTTGGCAAAACACTGAAATGGCAAACTCAGAAGTACAGATACACTGAGTGATCCCTTCCTTCCTTTTGTAATTTCTGTTCTTCATTTTCTCTTCCCTGAAGTGCTTTTCCTTTCCTTGAGTGATTGTCAACAAGCTTTTTGGCCACAGATTAAATAATTCTGGACTGAGCCAGGGTGTGTTGAGCTGCTGTGATCCAACCCTGTGAAAATAAATACACAGTTCAGGGTGGCTGTTCCTGAGCACGGATGGATGGGTGCCCTTGTGAGTCAGGCACAGCAGAGGGATGCAAAAAGGAGTAAAGGAACCACAATTTCATGGATAAATCAGATGGCCATCAACAGAGAGAGCTGGGACACCCATGGGAAGCTGGGACAGATGTCAAGGAGCAGCACATCAGCTTCATGGTGTGGTTATTTGGTTATTTAACAGCAGAGAATACAGCTAATTTATCAAACACATCACGATACGTTATTGGTGTTCCGTGTCCTCCTGCTTCTCTGTCCTCAAAGGCAGCTCCTTGCTCTGTCCCTCCTCCCTCCTGTCACCCCCAGAGCTGTCTCCTGTGCTCCTGTCACCCCAGAGCTGTCCCCAGAGCTGTCCCCCATGCTCCTGTCACCCCAGAGCTGTCCCCCATGCTCCTGTCACCCCCAGAGCTGTCCCCAGAGCTGTCCCCCATGCTCCTGTCACCCCCAGGCTGTCCCCCATGCTCCTGTCACCCCAGAGCTGTCCCCAGAGCTGTCCCCTGTACTTCTGTCACCCCAGAGCTGTCCCTCATGCTCCTGTCACCCCCAGAGCTGTCCCCAGAGCTGTCCCCCATGCTCCTGTCACCCCCAGAGCTGTCCCCAGAGCTRTCCCCCATGCTCCTGTCACCCCAGAGCTGTCCCCTGTGCTCCTGTCACCCCCAGGGCTCTGGAGCTGAGCTGCTCTCTCACCTTCAGCAAATTCCCGTGGGCAGGCTGTTCCTGCAAAGGGCTGGGCGTTCCTGTCGCTACAGAAATATGTGGTGGCAATTTTGGCAAGGTTTTTGAGTGGCTCACGGTCCAAAACCTGCTGCAGATCCTTTTTTTTCTGTGGCTGTTGGAGTAACGTGAGGTGTGGAGGAAGGGATTTGTGTTTGGGATGTGTGCTGACAGCGTTACGTCCGTGCTTTTCCCACCTTCCACACACACCCCCACAGGGCTTTGATGGTAAATAATTCCCCTTACAAAAACTGCCAGTTCTTCTCATACCAGCAAGGAAATGAATGAAATGTTCTCTGTTCCTGAAGAAACGAGCCAAGATTTKGAGAAGTGACTTAATTTTGGGCACATGCCACTTGTTCAGCTGCRGGATTTGGGGTTCCAGCCTGGGGGAATAAATAGCTCTGAAGGAATGTATCAGTCTGGGAAAATGAAAGGAGAAAGGACAGGATAAAAAAAAATGGTTTGGGGAATATAAATAGACTGGAAATAGTCACAAAGAGCTGAGCACAGGGCGTGATCCCAGCCACTGAAATAAATGTCTTTCTAATGGTTTCAGGGGAGGAAAACTCTGTGTGGTAACGGGGGCTTGGATTTATTTCTGCTCCTACACACATCAGTGCTTTTATGAATTCTCAATACTAATTTAAGGGTAGGTTTTAAAGCTCTTTTCCTTTCTTTGCCAGCCAACAACATCTGCTTCTACGGGGAGTGCTCCTACTACTGCTCAACAGAGCACGCCCTGTGTGGGAAACCCGATCAGATCGAAGGCTCCCTGGCTGCTTTCCTGCCTGATTTGTCCCTGGCCAAGAGGAAAACCTGGAGGAACCCTTGGAGACGCTCCTACCACAAACGCAAGAAAGCAGAGTGAGTAGGGGTGATGGGGAAATCACCCAGTCCTGGCCAGGGGGAGCAGATGGGCTTCTCCAGCTCCTGGGATGGACAGGGTTCTGCATGGACACAGCTCCAGCTTGGGCTCTGAACACAAAAGGAACCTCAGTGGCATAATTCCTTCGTGGGACAGACACCTCCAATGCCACTGCCAGGGTGTCACAGGGCCTGTCTGAGTCCTGKCAGAGGGAGAAGGGCTCACTGCTCTCTGCAGCCCTGAGCAATGTGTTCAGATGTTCTCACCCTGTGACTGATGGTGCAGCCAGACTCCTAAATCCTACTGGCCACATCGTTTCCAGTCTTGTGATTTTCTTCCTTTTTCATCGGTCACAACCTTGCTTGGTTGCCTGCAGGGCTGGAAGCAGCCTGAGGAATTTGCTGCCTCTACCTGACCCTGCTCTCAATCGAACATGATACAAATAGGCCTTTGCAAAATACCATTTTTTTTGTCATTTTCAGTAAGCTTTGTATGTCACATAAAATATCAAAATATTGCCTTTTCCAGATGGGAAGTTGATCCAGATTATTGTGAAGAGGTTAAACAAACACCCCCGTATGACAGTGGGACCAGAATCCTGGATATAATGGATATGACAGTTTTTGATTTCCTAATGGGTATGTTTCATCTCTTTCAAAAATTAAATGCAACATTTAATTAGAATAAGAACCATTTCTTTCTGCACYGCTCTGCATAGCTCAGCAGTTTGCTAAAGCGTGGCTGAAGCTGMATTTACTGGATGTGCTGCTCTAGATGATGATGAGAAAATGCAGATTTCCATGGTTATGTATTCCCATCAGTGCAGATTAAAGGAGCAGAGATGTTCAGAAATGCAGAGTGGTGATGAATGCAGGTCAGGCCAGTCCCCTTCACAGTTTGCTCTGAAAGCACAGGGAGTGCTTGCTTTCCCCCTGTGATATTTGTGATATATTGCTCCTGGATGCACATGCAAGGACTGYTCATTGCTTTCTCTGCTCTACCCAGGGCTGTTTTTGAGTTTTTGCATTGYCCTGACCTGCAGGCTCAAGCCAGAGTCAGAATGGTTTTTTATTTTCCCTCTTTGTTCCACAGGTAACATGGATCGACATCACTAYGAAACCTTTGAGAAGTTTGGAAATGAAACTTTCATTATCCACTTGGACAACGGAAGAGGGTAAATACCTTTGATAATCTTCCTGGGGGGAAAAAAAAAGAAAAAGATCCAATCTTTAAAATAGCCTTTGTTACATTCTTGCTCTTATCTTTAAATAGGTTTGGAAAATATTCCCATGATGAACTTTCCATATTGGTGCCTTTAAACCAGTGCTGCAGGTAGGTTTCACCTCCAGAGTTTTTCCCTGGTTTACACAGCTCCTTCCACTGACAGGACTGAAAATATTCCAGTGAATCTTTTATTGTCCACCATGGAGAGGAGGAGATGGAGTGCCCAGGGAGCCTGACCTGAGCTAGGCCTGAGTGTTGGCAAGTCCATAAAATGTCAGGATCCTGCAGGAGCTGTTGGAGAGAGGCTTTAACACAAAATCCACATCCYGTGGAAGCCAGTGACAAAATCCCAKCTTGTTCAAATGCTTCCCCACAGCTTCCTTGGTGCCATGGCAGGTTTTCAGAGGGGACAGGTGACATTTAGAGTTTCAGCTCTGTCTGGGAGGGCTCTGGGCAGCCCTGCAGGGTGAGCCTGAGGAGCCTCTGCTGCTGTCACACGAGTGTCACACGTGTCCCTGCCGAGATGGACGGGCACTGTGGGTGCTGCAGCAGCTCCTTCCCAAGGAGGGACATGAGGGCTGCCCACACTGCCCCATGGATCTGTGCTCCAAAACCTCTCCATCCTCTCCTAAGGGCCCCAAAAATCAGTGTTTAGGTGGCAATGCCAGGGCTCATTGGCAGTGCCTGGTTCTCATCATCTCAGATCACAGAATTGAGCTCTTACACATTAATGCTGACCATTACCTTTTACTCTGTCACAATCAACAGGGATGGAAATACTGATTTTCTTTTTTCCCCTCTTTTTCTTCTTTTTTTTCTCTTAGAATAAGGAAGTCTACCTATCTGCGATTACAGCTGTTAGCCAAGGAGGAGTACAAACTCAGTCTCCTGATGAAAGAATCTTTGCTAAAAGATAAAATAGCTCCAATCCTCTACCAGCCTCACTTGGAGGCGATGGACAGGCGGCTGAGAATTGTCCTCAAGGCTGTCAGTGACTGCATAGAGAAGGATGGTTATGACAACGTGGTTGAAAATGACTTTAACACTGATGTTAACACTGCTACCACCGAGAGGTAGTGAAATGGCAAGGCTAYGTTTCTACCAGCCACGTCAAGAAGATTCAAAGAGGAAAAAGAAAAAGAAAAASAAAMAMAMMRAMAAAAAAAAAGTCTTGCAAAAGACTGTGTATGCCACTTTGTGAATTCAGTGAATTCAGAAATGAGATATAATTGTTCCCAAAGTAGGTAAAGTGTAGACTCTGCAAAAGGATTAGCTCATTAAGAAAAATAAGTCTAATGTGATGCTTTTCATTAGTTCCTGAAGAGAGATTATGAAAAAATTCAGAAAATACTCAATCATTGACAGACAACAGTCTGATAGCAAAACACCTCCTGTCCTTTTTGTATAGAAAGGAGGCCTTTACTTAATATTTTGTATTTATATATGGTGTATCTCTGAAACCCCAGACCTACCTTCCAAATTTAACTAAGAGGGACAGCATAGTTTTGTGACTCACACTTTATTTGTGGTGACAGTCCACTTAGTATTTTGTGTTAACCCTTTAAGTGCTCTAATCCACTGTATCTTATTTAAATTGAATGCTTTTTTCCTCCCAGCTACTCAGCATTTAAAGGGTTAAGGCATTATGAACTTTGAAAGGCAAAAAAATAATTATAATAATTATAATAATAAYGATGATMATAAATACAGGGGTTACCAGAAGGGAATTTCACTAATTGTGCTTTGACAGGAATACTTGAATGTTGGTTTTACAAAGTGATGTAAAATGACAAGTTGTACTATTTGTCCATAAGGAGGTGGCAGCTCTTATCTTTCTAGACTATCATAGCCGAGCTGCTACTTTTCAATTTTGCTTTTGATAGTTTTGTGTAAATATATACATATATGGGTAAAAAAAAAAAAAGCTGCTTTCAGCAGCTCTAGGCTTACTTTTGCAGCATTTTTGTGGAATTGTTTGCAACGTGGTAAAAGTGCAATAAAGATATGCAAAATGTGTAGCCATCTTGTGTGGAATGGATTAATTCATCACTCGGGGCAGAGCTCTGTGCACCAGCCCTGAGTCCCAGGGGTGATTTTTTAATTGTTCCCCCTTTTTTGGCAGCAGCAAACGGAGCTGGAGGAGGGATGGGTGCCCAAAAATAGGCCAAAAATTGGCTGTATTTGACTTGTGAAAACATGGTGTGGTACAGCAGGAATCCCTCACCCCTCCTCTGGGTGAGGAGAGGATTTATTATAACCRTGTTCATCACAACTACAATTCAAAGGTGCCATTTGTTTCATTTGATGTCTCTCTTCTCAGGGATTCATAACCATATACTTTAAAAGCCAGGTAGAGGAAAATGTAGGCATTTCAGCATGTTGAAATTATGAATGAGAGAAAAAGCTGCTACATGGGCTCATTCACTTCCTAGGCTGATATATTATCACTAAAAAACACATGAATTCTATATTTTATGGCCCATTTCGGATTCCCATGGCTCTCACACATGTGGCATACAAAGACAACAGAATATCTCAAATTATACATAAACCTGGAGAATTTCTGTGTTATCCCATGGTTTTTTTTCACTTTTGAAGGCCCACCTATGATAACAAGGTTTTCTCTGCAACACAGTGCTGGAACTGCAGTGCTCTCTGTTAGTCAAAAAAGAAACTTTAAAATACAAAATTAGAAAAAGGTGAAATGGGTAATGCCATCCTTGTTCTGTCTTCAATGCCTGGCTGTGCTTTTCCTCACTATGAAATCATTCCAGGACAGCAGAGGAGCTGTAAAATCACCTTTCCAGGGCAGCTCTGATTTCTCTTGGGGTCAGCTCAGCAAACTTTTGGAACTTTTGCTTTTGGGGAGGAGCTTTGGGCAGCCCCTTAGCTCAGAGGGGAGCAGATACAGGGAAGGCTTTGGCTCTTGAGAGGTTGGGTGAAGGTCAGGAGCTCCTGGCAGGGTGGTTCCAGCTGGAAATATCTGCAGAAATATCGGCCTGGTGCTGTCAGGGGTATGAACACACTGTTGTGGATCTGATTGTGAATTTCTATCAGCAAAATTAGCAATGTTTTTATAGATTAAGTAGTGTTTAGTGTGGAATAAGCAGTGTTTGTGTAAAGAACTAAAAGCTGTTAATCCTTCCCACGTTGTAAAGGGTTCTGGGGGTCTCCAGTTCCCTTCTGCTCCTGGACTTTGATGCTTCCCCTTGAAAGCTCTGTGCTGCAGCTTTCTAGACTTACAAAAACCTTTTCTCATTCCCAGCCTTCAACGAGGCATGGAGAAAAACTGGAGGGGAGGCTTTTCTTTGGCATGAGACACACAAGTGCCTTGAAGCTCACATCCTGGAGAGGTTTCCCTCCCTCGGTGCCTCTGGAGATGAACTGGGGTTAATTTTAATAAATCCACAGCAGGAGATGGACAGCAGGGGCTGAGCTCAGAGCCCTCCTGTGGCTGGGATAGCTGGGGACACGGCTGATCTGGAGGGCTGGGAGGGTGATTCATTAATTAATTTATTAATTAATTAATTACCCAGGCTGCAGAGCTGCTCCTCAGTGTCCAGCAGGAAACTCTGGTGTGTTTGCAGTCCCACTGCCAGGCAGCTGCAGCTTTGACTCATGATCATTTYCTAGGGTTTTGGGAAGGGAAAAGAATGATTGCCTTGTTCTGCTGTTTCTTTTTTTTTATGTGGGCAGGGGTGAGTGGGCACAAGGGATGGGAAATGGGAGCCAGGGAGTGAACCTGTGGCTCTGCCTTTCAGTTTTTGGGGTGTCACAGCCCTGAGGGTGGCTCTGTACAGCCCAAACAGGGGCAAACCCCCTCTTTTGGGGTGCCCCAGGAAATAACTGCTCTGAATTCCTTCTGAAAACCTCATAGGTTTGCCTTTAGGCAAAGGATGTTGGCATGAGAGCCCACAGCTCTGAAAGGGCTGTCACTGTGTGTTTGGTCAGTAATTCAGGAACTGAGGAGGATGAGTAGGACGTGGTGGAACATCTCTTTAGGAGCCCTACATATTTACCAGACCAAAAAGATTCTCTCTAGGAAGATAAATAAATGTCAGAATTCTGTTGGTTTGTGTCTGGATCTCAAAAGGGGGTGTAGCAGCAGGGCCCAGAAAATAAACATGCTGAAAAATCTGCGCTGGTCTGTCAGGGGCAAAATGCCTTCAGCACAATAAATAACAGATAAAAATAGATCATATGTTTCTAAAAGCACCTAATTACAGCTGTGTCTGACAGTGTGGAATAGCTTACTGTGTCCTCACTCGTTTTTGTGTTTTTTCTGCAATTCTTGGCACACACAGACTCCACCCAAAGCTATTGAGGCTCTTGTGACCTGGTCTGAAAGAGCTGAGTTTGATATTATTGGTATTTTGATAGCAACGAGAACATTGATGGAGCAAACTTTTCTTCTGCTACTGAATGTGTAACCACAGAGTTCATTTTCCAGAAATTATTCCAGTTCCTGTGGAGTTTCTTGCCAGTGTTTTTTTGCAAAAGTATTTGGGGCTCAACACACAAAAATAAGGGTGCACAAGGAAAAGTTTTTTGAAATTAAATTGAGCATTTGGAGGAAATTTTGAGTGTTTTGGGACACGTTTTCACATGGAATTTCAAGYTGTTAGCAGTTGGAAGCTGCTGGATTTCTTGAGAATAATATTTTTATGCTGAAAGTCATTCATAGGTAGCCTCCAGCCATAACTCTGTCTGACCAGATCAAACTCAATTATCTGCTCCCTTCCACATTTGCATCAGTAAAGTACCACTTCAATGCTTTTGGGGGCTGTCTAGAAAAAAAAGAAAATTAAAAGCAGTTCAATTTGGTGGATCAAAAGACCTGAGAATTGAGGTCAGACCAGTTCTGGCCATGGCTGGAAATGAAGCATAAGCAAAAAGGAGGCCGTGGATTTGGCAGCACCAATTCCTTTTCTTTCAATGCAAGGGCAGAGCARAGATTTGTATCTAGAAAAGAGCTGCTGCTCCACCTTTTTAGACACATTAAACACTTTCCAAGGTTTTCTAGGGTTTTCCAGGGTTTTCCATTTATGCAACTCTGATATAATTACATTGATGAGCTAAGAGGGTTTTAAGTAGGATGGGGGGAATGYTCACCTTTGTCTCCAGCCTGTTACATGAGGATTTGGGTGCTGGGAGATCACTCCTCTCTTTCAAATAACCTCAGGAACCATCAGTCCCATCCCCTGTCACAAATAACTCACGTTTTGCCTCGAATCTTGCTCAGGTACAGCCCAAACCCAGCAGCTCTCAGATGGAATTGGCAGCTGGAAGCAAAGCAGAGCTTCTCACAATTGGAGATGTCAGCTCAGAGCACTCTCCCCTTGTGTGGATGTGGGAATCTGGGTCASGCTGTGCCTTGGCCACAGTCATGAATAGCATTAGGGTCTCATCAGAAATTCCTCTGTGCTTCTTCTGGAAAGGTGCTGACTGATGGACACATGCACTAAACCATCTCTCACGTGTGCTGATCGACCTTGGTGTAACTTTAAAATACATCCCAGGGTGGTTTGAGATACACAATTTGAAATCTCACCCCTCAGCTGCTGTGCTCAGTGCAAAGCTGGACACCACAGTGTCCTCCCCTGCTCCCAAGGATTGTTCAGAACCCAAATAAATTAAAAAAAGCTACCCAAAACAAGGCAACATGATTAAATAGGACTAGTATTCAAATAAAGTCAGCAATGCACCGATATCAGGGAGTTTCAAAGAGCTTTAAAAAGTTCCTCAGCACACCAGGCACACCCTGCTCACCCTGCAGGCACATGGGGTGTCCAGCTYTGGAGGTGAAACCATCAGAAGGACTGTGSTGATCSACYTTGGTGTAACTTTAAAATACATCCCAGGGTGGTTTGAGACACACAATTTGAAATCTCACCCCTCAGCTGCTGTGCTCACTGCAAAGCTGGACACCACAAACAGCATCCTCCCCCTGCTGCCCAGGATTGTTCAGAACCCAAATAAATTAAAAAAAACTACCCAAAACAAGGCAACATGATTAAATAGGACCAGGATTCAAATAAAGTCAGCAATGCACCGATATCAGGGAGTTTCAAAGAGCTCCTTAGCATGCCTGGTACCTGGGGGTGTCCAGCTCTGGAGGTGAAACCATCAGAAGGACTGTGGGGATT